ATCATGAGAAAGGTGGGGCTAGATGAATCATCAGTTGGAATTAAGATGGCTGGGAGAAATATCAACAACCTCAGATATGCAGATGATACCACTCTAATGGCAGAAAGTGAAGAGGAACTAAAGAGCCTCTTGATGCAGGTGAAGGAGGAGAGCGCAAAGGTTGGCTTGAAACTCAACATTAAGAAAACTAAGATCATGGCATCCAGTCCTCACTTCCTGGCAAATAGATGGGGAAGAAATGGAGGTAGTGACAGATTTTATTTTCCTGGGCTCCAAGATCTCCACAGATGGGGATTGCAGCCAAGAAATTAAAAGATGCTTGCTCCTGGGGAGGAAAGCTATGGCAAATCTAGACAGCATACTAAAAAGCAGAGACATTACCTTGCCAACAAAAGTGCATATAGTCAAGGCTATGGTTTTCCCAGTTGCAATGTATGGCTGTGAAAGCTGGACCATAAGGAAAGCTGAGTGCCAAAGAATTGAGGCCTTTGAATTGTGCTGCTGGAGGAGACTCCTGCGAGTCCCCTGGACCGTAAGGCGATCAAACTGGTCAGTCCTAGAGGAGATCAACCCTGACTGCTCTTTAGAAGGCCAGATCCTGAAGATGAAACTCAAATACTTTGGCCACCTAATGAGAAGGAAGGACTCCCTGGAGAAGAGTCTAATGCTGGGAACAATAGATGGCAAAAGAAGAAGGGGACGGTAGAGAATGAGGTAGCTAGATGGAGTCACTGAAGTAGTTCGGGTGAGCTTAAGTGAACCCCGGGGTTGGTGGAGGACAGGAAGGCCTGGAGGAATGTTGCCCATGGGGTCGCGACGGGTCGGACACGACTTCGCGACTAACAACAACAACATTATCAATATTCTAGATAGCTGTGGTGGAGGCTGACAATGGTTGAGCACATAAGGGATTTAATAATTTGTAGAGCCACTATCCTACTCCAGCTCACAAGATCGCTTCCCAAATGCCTCGCAGTTTGGAAGTCCTGTCGCGCTCAACTCAGCGGCACTTTTCCGATCTACCTCCCAGCGGATCGAACTAGACGACAGACGGCCTCGGTTTGCAGCCCCCACCAAGGCTGGATGCCGCGACCCGCCGTTCGGTCTGATGCACATCGGTTCGGAGGTCAGCCTCAAGGTGTTCCACGAAACTTTCCCACACAGGTAAATAAGCAAGAACGGCCCCTTCAAGCCCAGTTTACTTCTGAACGCCCCGCCCCTATTCCGGGCGGGCTGGATCGCTGAGGCGGGAACTTCCAAGAGCCCCACCCCAGAAGCCGCCGGCGGTTGCCTTGGTAGTTCCGCCTCTGCTCTTAAGGAGGGACCGGGTTTGGCCTAGGCCAGGAGAAGGGCGAGAGGGCCGGCTGGCCTGCGTGCCTGCTTGCCTAGCGTTTCCCATCACGTCGGGAGCGGCCTGACATGAACAAGTCGGAGATGGCAGACGAGGCCCTCTTCCTGTTGTTGCACAACGAGATGGTGTCTGGGCTGTATCGCGCCGCGGAGCAAGGCGACGGGGTGAGTGAGCGTCGCCGTTGCACGAAGGAGCCGGCGCTTTCCCCGGTAGGGAAGAGAGGCGGAACCCGGGCACCGCAGTGCTGACGCCTGAGTTCACGGTGGCCTGCAGGGCGCTTTAAGCACTACGCCGTAATGCCCGGGCATCGGCGGCGCCCCACCCCCCATAGGGCGCAGGGGGCACCTCTCCATTCGGAAGATGGGAACCCTCCGGTGCTGCTACTGCTTATCTGCGCTTCGCAGCATCCGTTCTCGTGGGGCTTTTGTTGCCCAGGCGTTCCTAAACTTTGGTGGCTGAACAGATTGGTCAAGAGGTTCCGCTCGATGCCCAGGCTTAAAGCTCATTTGGGGCATGCACGGTGTTGATAAGGGTTTCCCTCACCCGCTTCTGGTGCTACAGTCGGAAGGCGCTGGGTAGCAAGGCTGCCCCCCCCCCCCCCCCCCCCGGTGAGAGAAAAGATGGAAGAAGCGCTGGGAAAACATGGGAGGGTTACGAGTTGAAGGTTAGGTTGTCTGGGCCTCTGTAAAGTTCCATGAATGAAGCAGGGCGATGGTGCCCTAAAAGCGTCATCTGGAAACCCTCTTCCCGTTAATATTCAGTGAATGAGGCATGGTTATGGCACTGCAAGCCTTATCCAGAAGCATTTTTGATGATTTAAAAAATCTGTTCTTTTGATTTGTCTGTCAGGTCACTTCAAACTGCAGTTTAACGGAACAGATTGGTGTCTGCTTTTATTCTTTTAGAGCCCCTTTTTGGTATAAGTATGCATTTATTTTAGGAAACTGATGAGTTTGTTCTACACTTCCTTCCTTAATACACCATTATTGTCCTTCTCTGCTAGGTCAGACTGTAATCCAGATATAGAAACTACCAATTTTTGGAGTTTTGGAGAAGCCTGCCTCTACCCAGGGTGTTGGAGATCATATAATAATTACATTATGATTAACAGGGTTAAAACTACATGTAGTGTCTATGTTGTTCTGATGCTTTGGCAAGACCTCTGTCTAGGTTCTATATAATCTGAAAATAAGTCAGATTTCAGGCTTTTTAAGTGTAGCACTGTTTATTAGAACAGTGCAGAGTTCTGTGGCACTGAAAACACTATATTACATATGTACAAAGAATGTATTATTGCATAGTTCACTTAATCAGATCTCATGAAGTGTGCTCTGGTCCATGGAAGCTTATTCTACAGTTTGCTGGGAGTCTCTTACACACACACTCTTGCTATAAGATTGTCATTTTTCTACCTTACAGGAAAATGGACGATGCATCACAAAACTGGAAAATATGGGGTTTAGAGTGGGACAGGGATTAATAGAAAGGTGAGTGGAATTAATGCATAACTTCTCTCATGACAGGTTATTTTACTTTATATTAGAAAATATTCTAGCAGTTTTCCTGATGTTCTTCTAGGAAGAGTATGCATATTCAAGTGGATCTCAGAAGACTCAGAAATTTGCTAAGGGACTTGGCTCATAACTTGCTCTAGGTCACCATTCACCAACCTGGTACTTTCTAGATGTGTTATGCTATATCCCTCTCTCTTCCCAGTTATGACTACAATAGCTTGTGATAACTGGCAGTTATGGGAGATATAGTCCAAGTTTGGAGAGCGCCGGATTGTGTACATTTACACAAATATAGATGCAGATTGAGAAGTGTTGTTTTCAGCAGCCTGGAAGAAATATTTATGACTTTTCTGAAGTATCAGGTAATTGACTTGAAGAACTGTATAGTAGTCTTAGCAGGTAGGTTGCAAGTAGTGGCACTCAAATGGTTTGTGTCAGAGTATAATTGCACTCCCAGCAGTAATCCCATTTTCTTTTTTTCCCTTTACCTTCCTTTCTTTTTTTAATGAGAAAAAAGGATGGTAGTGGAATAGATCTTGGCCCCATTTTCAAATTCTGGGCTAAAAGTGGGTCCTTGATCTAAAAAGCTTGAAAAATACTGTTCTGATATACTTAAATCTTAGTTTGGTGAGTTAATTAGGTCAGGTTTTTGAAATTGCTTATAGTTCTTAATGTGATAATAATTATGTTTTGCCATCTATATTCTTTTCCTTTTTAGGACATATGTATTTTATTTGGTTCACACTGTACAAAAAGATTCAAATATCTTAATTTTTGTTCCTATAGCTTAAAACATATCCATTGTTTGATTACTATTTGAAATTTGATTACTATTTGTAACTATTGGTTACAAGTGGGAGACAACAATATCTGCATACGCAAACCACTTACTGTAAAGTTTTGTGTTTGAGGAAGGGCAGCTGCACAATACAAGCCTCGTTTGGGAGCATTTTATATATAAAACATTTCTGCACACATCCTAATACATTATGGTGCAATCCTATGGTGATGTCTTTAAGCTGCCCCATTCAGAGGCTTCTCTGAGTCATGGAATGCAGAATGGAAGCAGCAGCAGTAGTGATCTCTGCCTCCATGTGCTCCCTCTTTCCATTTTTGCTAGATGGGCTTCTTTGCCTGTCTCTCTGCAACTTCCTGTCGGGTAGAGGAGCATCAGAATAGCCCTTGGCTTGGCTTCTCTTGCCTCCCCCCTTCCCTGCCCACTGCAGCAACCACTTTTCCCCCCTCCTTGAGGTTGGAAGAGTAGCCAGCAAGCTTTTTTCTGTGCTGGCTGAAAGGGGGTGAGAGCTCCACTTTCCAGCTATCTCCAACTTTGGGTCTGGGAATCTGAAAAATTCTATAGACCTTAGATGCTGTCTACGGACCATAAGACTGGTCTCTTGCTGTACTGTAAACTTATTTGAAGATTATCAAGTGACTCTAATATTTTGAATTGATTTTGTTTAGGTTTACCAAAGATACTGCCAGATTCAAAGATGAACTAGATATAATGAAGTTTATCTGCAAAGATTTTTGGACTACTGTGTTCAAAAAGCAAATTGATAACCTCAGGACCAATCATCAGGTATTGTAAGAATATTAATTTTGCAGAGCAGTTTTAGAATCATTGAACAGTAGAGTTGGAATGGGCCTGTTAGACCATTGAGTCCAACCTCCTGCTCAATGCAGGACACCAAAGTTGAAGTATCCCTGACAGATGACCGTCCAGCTGCCTCTTGCATGCCTCCAGTGTGGGAGAGCCCATGACCTTCCTAGGTAATTGGTTCCATTGCTGTACTGCTATAGCAGTCAGGAAATTTTTCTTGATGTCCATCCAGAATCTGGCTTCCTGTAACTTGAGTCCATTATTCTGTATCCTGTACTTTGGCATGATGGAGACGAGATCCTGATCCTCCTCCATGTGAAAGTCTTCCAGATATTTAACAAATGCTATCATATCTTCCCTCAGTCTTCTCAAGGCTAAACATGCCCAGTCCTTTCAATCTTTCCTTACAGGGCTTTGTTTCCAGATTTCTAATCATCCTTATCTCTCTCCTCTGACCCCCCTTCAGTTAATCTACATTCATTTTGAAGTACACTGCCCAGAACTGGATGCAGCACGCAAGATGGGACCTAATTAGTGTCAAACAGAAGGGAAACCAGTACCTCATGTGATTTGGAAGCTAAACTTCTGTTGATGTAGCCCAAATAGCATTTTCTTTTCCTTTTTTCTTAGTCACATCACATTGTTCACTAATTCAGCTTGTGATTTACCACAATTTCAAGATCCTTCTTGCTTGTAGTACTCTTGAGCCAAGTATCCTCCATCTTGTATCACTGCATTTTGTTCCCTGTTCCTAGGTGTAGAACTTGGCATTAGTCCCTGTCGAATTTCATTCTGTTGCTTTTAGCCCAGCACTCCAGCCTATTTAGATCACTTTTAATTTTGTTTTTGACTTCCGAGGTATTAGCTGTCGCACCCAATTTTGCATCATCTGCATATTTGATCAGCATTCCCTGCACTTCCTTGTTGAAGTAATTAACAAAAATATCAAAGAGTGAATGTCCTCCAAAAGCCTTTTCCTTCACATTCCTGCTCAGCTCTTGCAAATTTGAGGCTGTGGCTTTATGATGACAATATAATAGAGAAAATTTTAAATGGAAGATCCTGTTATCCATTTCTGCAGGGCATTTATGTGCTTCAGGATAACAAATTTCGTCTCCTGACTCAAATGTCTGCTGGTAAACAGTATCTGGAACATGCCCCTAAGGTACGTATTACATCATATCATGTGTAATTCATAGTCTCTTCAAAGTTTGGATTCTTTATTGAGTTGTAGCTTAAGCCCTATGTAGCTTTTTGTCCCTATGCATGTTTGTGGGGTAGAGCCATAACCGCACTTGGCCTTGGATTATGCATTACCTCTGGTTCTCTTGGGCATCTCCGTAATGCTTTTGTGTTTCATGTTGGTATATATTATCGTAAATTTGGCAGATAAAATCCGGAGAGTATCCTATCACTTATATAGATAGTCTGCATGCTAGACTATCAAAGGATTTCGGTTTATGGGTCCTATTCCTCATGTCCTGCATGAGGCAGGGCCAACGTGATGGGGCATCTGCTGAGGGCCCACATTACAGCAGGAGCCCACTGAAAAGAGACCCCTCGTTTGCTCCTTCTGATCACCATTGCAACATGCTTCTTCCTCAGTTTCTGGCTCTGCCTGCCAAGCAAGCAAGTAGTGGTGATGATGAGAAAGAAGAACAATACTAACTGGTGAAAATGGTGCTGGCAAGGCAAACACACTGAGGGAGGGGGCCTACTGAGGGTATCTTGCCCAGGGCCCACAAAAACTTGGGAAATAGCACCATGGAGGTTACAATCTGTTTTGGAAAGGAACACACTCCCCTAAAGAATAAAGTTACTCATTTGGGGTGTTGATCATTTAATCACTGCTATGAGATCACAGTGGCCTGTGGGGCATGGAGTGCCTTCCACCAGGTGTGCACCAGCTGCACCCTTTACTGGACAGATAGCCTGACCAGAGTTAATTATAATTTGGTGACCTACAGAGTAGGCTACTAAATGATAATTTCTGTGCAAGAACACAAAAGATGATATCCTCTTAGCCCAGGGAAGATGCTACACAGACCATAGGATTTGGGAGGGGGGGTTATCTCACCCATGGGGAGGGACGGGGAGTTGGAAAAGGTCTGTCCTCAAAAGCTTGTACTGGAGGACCGGTCATTTTTGCTTTGTTGCCAGAACTCAGGGAGAGCATGGATGACAATGATTGCCATACTCTGGGAATAGGATGGGGGAACACCAGACTTGGAAGTGGCATAGTTTGTTTCCCTTCCTCTGGGAACAACTAGAAGAGACAAAGGAAAAATTTTCCTCCCACCACACTTTCTGTCAAACCCCAACAGTGTGTAAATATCTTCATGTTTAACTTCTTCAGCATGAACTTAAAGAATGGCAGGTATGAATAATTTAAACATTAGATTTTCATTTTTAATGTATTTTTCAGTATTTGGCATTTACTTGTGGATTAATTAGAGGTGCATTATCAAACCTGGGAATCAAGAGCATTGTAACAGCTGAGGTGTCAACAATGCCTGCATGTAAGTACACTCTATATTAGCAATAATTTATGTATCAGTTGTGTTTCCCACTTGAACAGTTGTTTGGTACCTAACCCATCATAGAAAATGAGAGAGACAAATGACTGATTATTAGCTACCATTATTAACATTTTATCTACCACCTGGACAGAGCTGGTTATATCGAGATTATACTAAAAGTTATAACCTTCCAACCCTCAACATCATCTAAGAGTCCGTTGATTTCTTCAAAGTCCCTCCTACAAGATCCATGGGAAGGCTGATCCCCCATCTTCCCTTCTTGCAGTTGGGTGAGGCACCTTGAGGCCTCAGGAAAATAAGGGTGTACCAAGGCTGGGAGGGGAAGAGACTCAGCCACTTCCAGTGGGCACCTCAGCCTTCTTCCATCTACCTTCCTGGTGCTAAATCTATACAGTCAAAATCAGCCATCTAAGGGAGAATGCAGGATGCAGGGTTATCATTGCTGCTGAACCTTGCATAGGATTCTCATAAGCCCCCAAGTTTGGATGCTTATGAGCATTTGCCACAGCAGCAATAGCATTGTGTCCTAGGTTCTTCTGACAAGTAACTGTACTTCCTGAACTTGATGAATGGTTGTATCTGCCAGGGTAAGGTTCTGTAACCATTTTTTTCTGTTCTTTGCAGGTAAATTTCAGGTGATGATTCAGAAGATATAGACATGTATAAAATCATCCTCCTGCTTTGTAAAATGCAAAAATAAACAGTATATTTTATTTATAATTATATTTACATGAAGTTGTTCTGTTTTATGTAAAATTTAGACAAATCGCCTGAAGAACTTTTTGATATGACAAATGCCCCTTTCTTCCTAGCTTCTCTTGTAGATTTGTAGTATTCAGCTTGTGTGTTTCCAAGATGATGATGCATTTTACAACTTTGTATTGATAGAATGGCAATCTTAATTAAATGCCCAGTTCTAATTTCTGGTTAATTATCAGTATTTTGCTCTAGCAATACAGAATTGGTTCGTGGCTCTGATCCAAAGGTGGGCTTTGCAAGATCCTTGTATGCAGTGAATTCTTCTTATTTTAACTAAGGCTGCAATGTTTAATCAAATTATCTTTTAGATGACTGAAACCTATAGAATAAATTTGTGTCCCCAATCTCAAGTAAGATTTCTTAGCTTACTAATTGTATAACTATAATCTTAAGATGGTGAAAAGACAATTTTATTTATTTATTTAAAAATTTCTATGCCGCCCCATTCGCCGAAGCCTCGGGGCGGCTTACAAAACATCAGTTAAAATATAAAACACTAAAAATATAAAACACATTAACATTATAAAATAAGTCGCCCTGGCCGAAGAATTAAGCAAATAATATTAGCAATTAAAATGATGTTTGAATAAAAAGGATCTTCGCCTGGCACTGAAAAACAAATAACGACAGCGCCAGGCGGACCTCTCTGGGGAGCGCATTCCATAGATTGGGCGCCACCGCTGAGAAAGCCCTCTTCCGAGTACCTACCCTCCTAATTTCCTTCATGGAGGGTTCCTGGAGAAGGGCCTCTCCCGCAGATCTCAGGGGGTGGGCGGGCGTATATGGACGTAAGCGCTCCTTCAGGTAGCCAGGTCCCAAGCCGTTTAGGGCTTTATAGGTCATCACCAACACCTTGAATTGGGCCCGGACTTCAATGGGAAGCTAGTGAAGCTGACGGAGGACTGGAGTCATGTGAACGTAACACCCAGTTCCCGTCAGCAACCTGGCAGCTCTATTTTGAACCAATTGAAGTATCTGGACGTCTTCAAGGGTAGCCCCAAGTAAAGCGCGTTACAGAAGTCAAGGCGGGAAGTCATCAAAGCGTGTGTCACTGTCGCCAGACAGTCGTACTCCAGGCAAATACATCATGCAGAGCAGTGGTGCAACAAACCAGCCTCCAACAGGATCTTACAGGTCAGGGATGGACAACTTGTGGCCTAAATATTTTAGCCTACAACTGGTTCTGCTATTGGTCACGCTGTCTAGGGCTGATGGGAGCTGTAGAGAAAAACATATGGAGGAATATAAGTTGTCCATGTACCTAAGATAAAGGCAGGGCATGCAGAAAAGCCCCTCCAACAGATCTTATTGACTAGGCTCAATGGGAAGAGGTTGTCCTTTAAAGCCATAAAAAGCTTGGGTTCAAAAAAATGTATACTTTTAAAAAAGTAATCCTACATAGACGTTAATCACAGAAGTGTATTGGTTGCTGGTGCAGTTGTAACAAAGGTGGTCATGTGTTCTTGTGTACCAGTCAGGCACAGACCTCTTGTGGCATATAGCTGAATTTTCCAGATGCCTTTCAAAGACACAGCCATGTAGCATATGCTACTCCAGTGTTAAGACAATAAAAGCATATGTAGTCAGGGCCAGACTTTCCTTGCCAAGGAAGAAAGATCGTTTGGGTCAGCTTAAGCTGGGCAAAGCACTCCTTGCCACCACCTGAGTAGCAAAGCTTGTTCATGGAGCATTCCTGAACTGTGAACCTCATTCTTTTAGGAGAATGTTGTTCCTTCTAGAATCAACCAAAACCTTATTTCCCAGTCTACATCTCTACTCCTCAAAGCCACTTCCATCCTATATAAACTTCAATTCATTGGCCCACATCCTAGCTTTCAGACACTTACTTTGGAATTTTCAGTCTTCTTGGAGCTAGATAGAAAAAAGAATGCAGCTAATACTGCATTCCAGACCTCTGAGTGGTTTAAGTGTGTGTAGGTAAAAACATGAGAGAGAAAATTAAACCTTGAGAGCAGCAGTGAGCTGTAGTGTCTTCAGCACCATCTTCTAAAGCCACCACTTAATAATACATTAATTGGCAGCCCAGGACATCATGTTTGCTATCAACTGTGAGGTCAAGATCTAACAGAATCAACAGGGATGCACTTAAGAACATAATAACTATGCTTTCCACAGGTTAATCTACTCCATTATTCTGTTCCCACAGTAGCCAATCAATTTCCCATGGGAAACAAGTAAGTAGGACATGAGTGCAAAAGCACACCCTCAAGCATGTTCTCCAGCAACTGGCCTACATAGGTGCCCTGCCTCTGATAATGGGGTTAGCTTGTAGCAGTCAGGTCTAGTAGCCGTGGGTAGTGTTATCCTCCATGAATTTGTCCAGTCCCCTTTTGAAGCCATGTAACCTGCTGGTTATTGCTTCATCTTGTGGAAGTCAATTCCATCGTGTGAAGAGATGTACACCTACCTCATGATGAAGAATTCTCAAGCAGTCAAATATGGCCATTGTATCTATTTATGCTGCCTGATTCCCCCTGATGAATTACTGTTTTATTTTTTTCAGCTGGAAATTCTTCAGCTAGAGAAAAATCATTATTTATTGTTGGATTCCAATACTTGATGGAATTAAAGGCAAGGAAGCTGGTGCCATTGTGGCAATGTAAATATAAATTTATTTATATATATAAACTATTTCAGTTTCCCCTGTCACATCTGAACTGAAGGTATGGGTCCTCAAACTATGGCCCAGGGGCTGCATCCAGCCCGCCATGCCCATTTATCTGGCCCGCCGCTGCCCACCTCGCCCCATGCGTAGGGAGGCAGCGGTTTGCTCACTCAAAGGATCTCCAAGCGAGCAAGCTGCTGCCTTGTGCACCCACCTTGTGGCGCGTGTCTGCCTCTGCCCGCGCCTTGCCTCGCCAAGTGCCCCGGCCCCACCTCAGCACACGTGCCTGCACACACCACCCCCGTGCACACCGCCAGCACCATCTTTCCGGCCCGCGCCCAGCACTGGCAGGTTTCAACTGGCCCCCTGGTGAAAAAGTTTGAGGACCCCTGGTATAAGGGGTAAAAACCATAGGGAAGCTAGAACAGTAAAACCCTTGGGCTCAAAGCAGCACTCTGCTAATAGTCATTTCTCAAGAACTGCAGGTAGGATATTGTCCTGGTCTGGCTAAGAATGACAGGTTCCATGTTTAGCCTGCACATGGTTAAATCATAAAATTTACCTGAGTGAAGAAATACTTTGGATTTTTGATGCTCATCTTGTGGAATGCTGGTGTACTATAGAATAACTTAAAAGCAAGTGACTCATTGAAGGTTGGTCTTTGGTGTAATTCTGAACCAGCACAACCAGTGTTGTTGAGAATAAGAGACCACAAATGCTTGAGCAAGGTATGGACAGAATCAAGAACTTATACTGTCTTCCACCAATTAAATCTTGGTTAACCTTTGCTAATACCTTCCAATGACTGGTATGGGAGAAGTTAAGTCAGGGGGAAAGATAACAGCAGAATAGGTATATTTTGGATTAAAAATAGGCTTATTACATGTGGGAGAAGTGCGACATTGTAGCAGCTAGCTTTGTATAGAGCAACAGCCTCCACCTTGCATTCCAGTATGCCCCTTTCCCCATCTCTGCAGTTCCTTTCCATTTAGAGAAGCCATATGACCACATCCTTTTAAGTCACATACAGCCAGTGCAAAGACCTAATAGGTACTAGAGCTCAACACCTGTGCACACATAATTTAAAAACATTTTTTAAAAGTTTATTGTCAAACATAAAAAGTTTCAAATCTGTACATTAGCCTGATTCAATTCAATTAGGCTTCTAGTAAGATTAAAAAAACATGGTTCCATGCTGAAGTAGCTGGAATAAGTAGGTGCCTGCAGTTTGTATATAGATTTCACCTCAATAAATGTTGGAGGCAAATGAGTCCGTAAGAAAGTGTTTAGGCACTCTGCTGTTGACCTCTTGCAAGTGGCACCATCCAGCACTACTCTTGCTCAGAATACTCATTTAAATTAGTCTTTGTTTTCAGATCACACAATTCTTCCTACCTACTGAGGCCGTACTGGAAGGTGGGACATGATGTTTGCCATTTTTCACACTTGGAGGCACAGAGAAGCTGGCTGATAACCCTGGTATAGCATTCTACTATAACATCCTGAGCTTGAATGTTCTCCAGACTTATCAGGATGCTTCATCAGCCAGGTCATGCTGGTCAAAATACCTGTTGGGAGGTGGAAAAAATCCATGAAAGTTGTATTAATCTTTAATACAATCAAATTAATTAATCTTTAAGAAAAATCTCAAGCAAGATTTAAAATAAATTGAAGAAACATAGCACATGTATCTAAATGCTCTTCAGGTTGAACACCGATACATTAAATCAGGTTCAAGGATATACCTCTTTTAAGTACAGTACCTCTGCAGATAGAGGAGTCAGGGTTTCAGCACAGGACTACAAAGCCTGAGTGGAACTATGTACAGAGGTAGCCACACTAGGCATGGTATAACAAGATCCATAAAAAATTAAGCCTGGGGAGCCCATGAATTAGGATCTGGCACTTGCAGGCTCAAACTGTTTGGAAGAATCCCATGAAAGCTGCTGAAGGCTACTGAGAGATGCATCCTCCCTTCCCCACTTTGCAACATACACTTGAAAAGATATAAGAATCTATCATTGCTAATGAATGAAGAATCACCTGGGATGGGAGATCAGACAAAGCCAGGAGCAGGTATGCTAGAACCTATAGCATAGAGTAGTTGTCTGATATTCCTAGCTGGTTTATTTATGTAATTCATTTAGTTTATTTCCCACTTTTCTTCTGTAATGGAACTTAAAACCCATGAAACTTGCAGGCAGTTTCCCATCCAGGAACTGATCAGATGAGAGGCAAATAATGCTCCTTGAACATTTACAAAGCAACAGAATACAGTAGTGAACCAGTCTTAGTCTTATTGGCCTCGTGGTAGTAGAAACCAATGTTTGTGTAATGTAACTAACACAATTTGCCCATGTTTTGCTCCTAGGCTCATAGGTGTCTACAGGAAGGGAAAACAGTGCAGCCCTTCCTGCTATGGATGAGATGGATCTACGGATTCCCAGCTTTCATTTTAAAAAGCCTTTGTAAAACTTAAGGAGCAAAATTTTATAACAAACTAGCCTGCTCCCATCTTTCAGAGTTTTAACCGATTAATGAATTTGCAGCAATTGTTAATATATTATCTCTGCTAATCTCCCCGAGTATGTTAAACCTTGTTGTGATCTACCCTGTTAGAAAGTAACCGAGGCCTAACAAAAACTAATTTAGAAATTCAGGAGTTTAATGCAGTTGAGTTTGGGCAGTAACACGTCTAAAAATAGTTGGCACCAACAGTCTAATACAAGACTTGTTTATAAACTCAGGAAAAAATATTAACATTAAAAATATTATCCTAAAAATGTTTACAGATAAAAGTTTGTCATTATGGTATCAAAACTACAGGAGGAGTGCTGTGCTGTGACTGAGAAAGCATGGGATGCATGTATCCTATCGTTTCACTAAGTGCTGTTAATCCCACTTTGTGGTGAGGGGGAAGGTAAAGTAGTATAAGAGGATTTTGCAATGTAGCGTGTTGGTGTTTTAAAGAAATGCAGATGCAAGAATGACTGTAGCATCAATTTATTGTCAGAAGGGGGCATTTTTTAACTGTTGCAAAAGGCAAAAATTGTAGCCTCTCCTCCCTCAGAGCTGAGCTAGAGGGCCGCACAGCTCCTCAAAATTTAGTATTTTTTCACATATTGCAGTAATAAATAAACAAAACAGTTGAGATTATTGAGTGAATTTGTTTCTATTGTGCTGTTTATAAACTAGAATCTAGGAATGATTTTCTGGCTAACAATCCACGCCTTAAACTGTTTAATAGCTCTTGGCCCATGGACCATGAACATGGGGTGGAACGATCAAGGGATTGAATGATACTGAAAAGCAACAGAGGGTAAACATGATATACAATTTCTCAGAGACCAGGTCTCCCTGTCTTAGTAGAATTGCTGTGTAGGCCTTGCCACTCCCCAGTCACCAGGTCTACCAAAAACTGTGATGTTCTCTGATGCCATTAAGACTTTTTAAAAATGTCACAAAAACATGCAGTTCCAGGAAAAATGTGGTTCCAAACAAATTGTTTCAGTTCAAAGTGCAAAAGTTCTATTAGCAGCTGATGCAAAAGTGGCTGATAACATATGAAAAGTCAAATGTGTAGGTCAGTCCCTGAGCAAGCACACATTTCTTTTTCCACTGCTAAAGGTACTCTCAAGACTCAATACTACTCTTTCTTTACCCTTTCCCAACATGGGACTTTCCAGTGCTTTGGACTTCCTAGCAGTCCCAGACAGCAAGATCATTAGCCAGGAGCGCTTGGGGTTGTAGCTCTAACTTCTGAAAGGCAGCAGGTTGTGAAAGACTGCTGCAGAAAATGTGCACCAATGTTTCTAAGGTGAAGACATTAATTCTAGTTTAAGTCATGGCCTTTGAAGCCACTGTAGTGTAGTGTGTTCGTAGAAAAGTAGAGCTGAAAGGGGCCAGAGGGCCATTGGGTCCATTCCTTGCTACTGCAGGACACTAAGTCACACCATCCCATTTAAATGACTTTCCAACCCTGCAGTTCTCACAGGGTGGCTCATAAGCAATCCATGGCTTACAGCAAGATTTGCAGCCAATCTTGGGCTTGCTATCTCACCTGAGCCCTGATGAAACAAGCCCAGCAGAGGTTCTAAATGCTAAGCAGCTGTTCAGTAGGTATGGCAGAAAGGCTTGCAGCTCTGGTAAAGAGGCTCTGGGTGACTGCCTGACAGTTGTACCAATGTGCCCAAGTGGCACTTGACATGGCTGTCAAAACCTCCCCATGTGAACAGTTTCCAACAGAAGCCGTGGCAGTGCAGGGCAAGCCATGCTTTCACATTGACTTTCTGTAGAGAGACTGATCAGAGTGTGGCTTGTTCTGTATTCTTATGCAGCTTCTCAGCAGTGGGTGAGCAAAGATGAAGTTGCGGTTTGCTAGGTCTTCTCTGGAGGAGATGCAGCAGAACTGAGCTTGGCTCTCAGTAGGAAGGGTTGCCCATAAGCAACCCCTTTCTGATGGGATCATCCCTGCCATCTTGCCAACTGTTTTGAACTGGTGGCAGAAGCAGGGAATAGGTTCCCCTGCCACCTGCCAGTGTGGGCAGCTTTCTCAGCTTGGTGCAGTGGTGGATAGCAGCTTCCATCCATTTAGCCTTCTCATAGGTAGGCTGAAGTGATACTTGTTTCTGTTTTCCTTTCCCCAGCACTACTGCTAAGCAGCAGCAGGGGAGAACCTTAATGCTCTGACTGTGTGTCATGGGGAAAGTGGTTTAGAGCCATGATGTACCCAGTGGGCCATTAGGCATATCATGGGCTCTGGAACATATAAACCATACTGTGTAGATTTCTCCACAGTGTGACCTACTGAATTGTGCAAGTCTACCCAATTTAATAAGAAAGGCAGTGATGCCATCAAATATTTGATATGGTATTCTTATGATTGCTGCATTATGTTTGTACAATTGTGTTTTCTTTTTCTTTCTTGCTCCTAGAGTGTGTGATTTATCCCTCACTCCAAATAAAGTTTCAATGGAATTCATGAACATAACATTCTTCTGGACTGTTCTGTACCCAGGATCTTCTATTACTCTGTGTACGCTCCTAAATGTCATGGAACACGACACTGAGTAAGAAAGCACACACACAAAGCATGAACAGATGTGTTGTGGGGGTGCAAGCTATGCACGTGAATTATAATAATAAATTGCTACGTGCTACATCTGCCAGTGTTCCGCCTGAAAAAATCCTGGAGATACCATGGCTGCGTGACCAAGTTTCATTGGGAATTGTCACTTTCTCCTGTAGCACTAGTGTGTGTTGGTTACATTGAACAAGCACTGGTTTATTCATGCACCATCATTATCAGTAGTGCTGGGACACCACTGGATACTACCCACAGTCAAGAAGGTGGTTCAAACTCATACTGTGAGTACTGAAAAATGACAAGTACAAAAGTTAAATCTTCAGTGGTCTACCAGAAGTTAAGCTTAGGTGGACTCAAGTTTACCTTCCACACAGTCAACTTATGTCACTTGCCATACCTGCCAACTAAACAAATTAACAAGTTCAGAGCAGACACCTTTTCTTCATTCTTGTTTTCCTGCAACAAAGAGGGTGGGGGGAAGTATCAGTGTAGTCCATTATAGCGTATGACTCAAATTTGATGAATGTCAATAATTCTAGACATGTTTTAGAAACATGTGAACACAAAAAATATTGCAGCGAACACTTAAGAGTAATTTAAATGCAAAAGGAGATTGGACAGATTCATGGAGGAGAAGGCTATCATTGGCTACTAGCCTTGCTGGCTATGTGCTACCTCCTTTACCAGAGGTGGCCTGCCTGCATACACCAGGCTGAGGAGCTTGGCAGGTAGAACTCTTGTACCTATCCTGCTTGAGGGATCCTGTAGGCAGCTGGTTTGTACAGAGTTCTGGACTAGAGGAACCTTTGGTCTGATCCAGCATGGCTTTTCTTATGTTCTTATTGTCAGCATTCCCTGATACCTTTCCCTCAAATATTTATTAAATGTATTACAATAATAAATATTTACTACAAGAACTCTCAACTTAGAGTACGGGGTGGCATTCAAATATCAAAAATAAACAAATGAAAAAACAAACTATTCTGATATTCAATAATAAAAGAGAATCCAAAATTCTCTTCCTTTTTTACAGTTTGAACCATCATTTGCAGTACAAATAAAGAAACAAAATGTAAAATAATGTTATGTGAATGAAAGATATCAAATCTAACCATGAATGGAATACAACGTTTTCCTGAAATAACCAGCTGATTCAGCTCACCTCCAAGACTCTCACTTTGGAGCATCGTCTGGCCAGTTCCCGAATTAGGGAGTGTGCCTCTGGTAACAGTGGTTTCTCAAGACAGGCCAACAAAGCATAAAGCCATCTGCCCTAGAGAAGTGTAAGGAAAGTTGCAACTGGAATTTCACCAACCACTGATATTTTATCCCAGTAGAGAAAAACATGGTTATTGTCCATTTTACCAAGGTCCACCACTGTAACAAGTCTTTGAGTAGGTCAGTCAGCATAAAACTGATAGACGGTCCAAGGCACCTACCTAACAACACTGGACAGCAGCTTAGAGACACAGAGGTTCCTATTCACTGTGGTAATGTGTTAACAGAAAACATTTTATACTTTATTTTTGGAATATGTAATACCTTTTAATTTTTCTACAGCAGTGGCAGCCACAGGATATCAGTAAATGAAGCAGAGAATCCAGTAGTGGCAGGGAGCTTGCTTCCCCCTTCATGCCAGAAAAAATGCTTAGCCCCAATTGTCAGAACTCCTGCAACTGGAGAAGTTGGGGAAAAGAACACTCTAGCCCCGTCCACCCATCAGCCAAACAGCCACCAACTGCATTTCAAGGAAAAATACCAGCAAAGAAAATCAGCCTGGCCCAAAGTGCATGTAAATGGCTGTTTATAGCTCACTACTTTGTTTTGGCCTTGAAAAATGAACCTCTCCTCTTCCCTTGTGTGCCCTGTCTTTTTTTAGGTTGTACATCTGATGGCAAGTTATACACCTGCCTTTTTCAATCATGTGAACTGCTTTAGGAAACAATTATTGTCTGAAAAGTAGGATCATTACACAGTATGATCAATACAATGAAAGGATCATACATACTTGGAAGACAAATTGATCTGAAATGCCAAAAATAGATTCACAAAAGCATATCACTTCAGAGTGTGATGTCATTGTGACAAAACAGGGCCACAGCTCTGTTAAATGCAAAGCAGGTTCAAATTGGAAAAGACCTTCTCAGGTGACTAATGAAAAACAGATGCATATTCAATTTCCTTCCACTTAATTTCAAAAGGATTACCAACTCCTACATGAAGAAAAAGTGCAAGTTACCAGTTCTGAAGTAAATTCCTTCTCTGCAAGCCAGTTTGTCAGGTATTCCAAGACGCTGGTTACCGTTGCCTTTTAAGAAAAAGAAAAGCTTTTATGAAATTGCTTTCTGTGATTTCTACTTTAGTATTGTTCTTGCATTAGTGGATAAGGCCTGCTAGAAAACCACTAGGTGTAATCCAATGACCAGATGACCAATTAATAGCAGCAACTATTGCTTGGGATCAAATGCAAGCACTGTCTTGCAATATTAATGCCACTTCATATATTATGATGCTATGAGATAGTTGCTGGTACAGTGTAGTACTGTTTATATTTAACAGCAGTATTTTGTATTAGTATTAGTATACAATACAATTGGTAGTATTGTAGTATTTTTAATTGGCAAAGTGGAGAATCAGATAATTGTGGTTGGCAAATATTCTTACCCACAGAGTGCAATCCTACGGCCACTAGACAGCATCTAGATGGCCACAGCATTTTTTGGAAACTCAACTATGATGTCTAAAAATTGCTCTGACCATGTAGCTGGGTTTCCTTGCTTGCTGCACCCTCCCCTCACCATGAGGCTGACAGAAAGAACTGCACTGGCCATGGGTCTTAGGCTGCAGTTCATGAGGCATTCTAGAGGGCAGTGCAGGGAGGAAAGAGGTGCTGTCAAGATGATGAATCCTGGGGCAGGAACAGCTTTGGTAGCCGTGGTGGATGATCTGTGTCAAGAACTAGACTGGGGGAGTGTATCCCTGGATTTCTCAGCAGGTTTCAATACCACTGACCATCCTTCTCAGTTGCCTTGCTGGGATGGAACTGGGAGGACTTTCTTAGAGTGGCTTCACTCTCTCCTGGAGGGATGGATCCAGAAGGTGGTGGTGGGGTCCTGTTCAACTCCCTGGCCACTAACCTCTGGAGTTCCTTAGGGTTCTGGTCTGTACCCCATACTATTTAAAATTTTCATACAACTGTTGGGAGAGGTTGTCTGGAGTTTTGGGGTTTGGTGTCCCCACTATGCTGATGACACTCAACTCCATTTCGCCTTTCCTTCTCATTCCAAGGAAGCTGTGTCAGTCCACATCAATGTCTATTGGCAAAATGGACTGGATGAGGGAAAACAAATTGAAGCTTAATATGGACAAGACAGAGGTGCACCTGGTCATTTGGACAGCAGACCAGAGAACAGGGATTCAGCCTGTGCTGGATGCGAGTACACTCCCCCTGAAAACAAAGGTTCCCAGCATGGGTATACTTTTGGATTCAACCCTAAGTCTGGAAGCCCAAGTCTCAGCGGCAGTCAGAAGTACATTTGCACTGTTTAAACTAATGCACCAGCTGCTCCCGTTCATTGAACTGTCTGATCTGTCTACAGCAACACATGCCTTAGGTACATTCTGTTGGGGTTACTGTAACATGTTCTGTGTGGAGCTGCCTCTGAAGCATGTTGGGAAACTTCAGCTGCTTTAGAGAGCTGCTGCCAGGCTGCTAATTAGGGCGGGCTACCAGGAGCATAAAACTCCTTTGCTGAACAGCGCCAATGGCTCCCAGTCTGTTTCTGGGCAGAATTCAAAATTCTGGGCAGAATTCAGGGGGTGTTCTCTTGGTCCCAGCACACTCACAGGCATGATTGGTGGGAATGAGAAGAAGGCCTTCTCAGTGGCTGCCCCAAGGCTCTGGAATACCTGTTAAGGGTCTGTAAGCTGGCTAAACTCTTTTTATGCCAGCAGGCATTTGGGAATGGCCTATGATTTTGCACTGGAATAGTTTTACTGATTATAGTTTTGTAGTGTTTGTAATCTAGGTTGTAGTTTAATTTTAATATTTAATTGGTTTAATTATATTTTAACATTTTGCATACTTTTGAATGTTTTAATTATGTGAATTTTAATGTGAGCCACCTCGAGTTCCAATCACTGGGAATAGGCAGGATTTAAATAAATATAATGAACATGACCACCACCACCACTTCAGTCATGTTCCCTGCTGCACATTCTCCATAATCCTCCACTTATGGAGACTGCACCTTATATACAAATGAAAAGAGTGATCTTGTAGTTTAGAGCATGATGCACCTTCCAGCTATATGGAAGTATGAGGCTGGCTGTTTCCTTCCATGAGAGATGCCATTGTAATAGAATGTCTGAATAAGTGATATTACACTATAAAGAACTCACCATCAGCCACATTTACAGAGTAGAATTACCTGATTCATTCTACTAACAATGCTCAGCAGTGGAGGAAAGCCAATCTAGAAGAAAAGATAACATATCAGCATCTTGCAAGCTAAAATGGTATTTGCTGGAAATCTAAATCTCCAAATTAGCTTGAGACTAGAATGTGACTACTTCAGCATACATACAGACTCTGGATCAGGATGCAGATAGATACTGAGTACAAGTACAATACCTTGTCCAAAAGTGATACCCACCTGTACATAATCAATTCCTTGATTTTCATCACTGGATACTTGAATAGGCATGTCTAAATATAACTTTTCGCCCAGACAAAATTTTTTCCAGCCTTCTTCATCATCTGATCTAGGCTGAAGAAACAGAGAAGCAGGGTTTTTTTCTTTATTAATGAAACAATTTTAAAAAATCCTAGATTTCCAGAAAATTCTCCCCTCAAAGTCATTTATCATGTATATTAGTTTCCTCAGACAGACATCACAATGTAAAGCAACTTCAAAGCAAAATAATAAAAAAATAATTAAAAGTTGAATTGGAACATGATAGAAAAAGCAGTTTAACAACTATGTTTAAAATGTTGAATTCTACTCACAATTGTTACATTGCTGTCCAAATGCTGCGACTTCCAGTGATTCCTGTGCTTGTTCACACTCTGAAAGATTTAAAATTAAAATCTAGTACAAACTTTTCTTGGAGTTATAGCATACATCAGTTAGAAAACTTTCTGATCAACTAAAAAGAGGCTCCTAATTCAGATTTTTGATCATTTTAACATACATGTACCTGCAGAAAGCAAGTGCAGCCTCAGAAGAGGCATTTTATTTTCTTCTCTTACATACATGCTTATTCTAAGATGATGCCTGCTGAAATACAGGCTTATGTACAAAACTTATGCCTTTCTTCCTTCAGAGGTTTACTCAATTAAGAATGCAGTCCTGTACATATTTAGACGAATTTCCAACAGCTCCCAGCATGCCACAGCCAGTAAGGCCAGCTGTGGAATGCTGGAAGTTGACCTTCTTTTCTATCTAATTTTGTATTGGATTGCATTTTAGCTGACCAGTCATCTAATATGATCAGCCAACTGAAGTTTCTTTAATTGGATGATAACTTGAAATAATTAATGGTCTCATGTTTTACAGAAAAACAAAAAGAACCATATTTTCCCAGCAAAGAAAAGTAAGCATGTACTTATATGTCAACAGAGATCATTAAAATATGTCAGGGGCCCAGAATGATAAAAGCTTTGCAAGGCATGTTCATCCATCCAAAATAATGTCTGGCTTTTACTGAAATATCTGAAGAATTTTTGTTAATGTGTGAAATGAATGGGTGCCATGTTTCCATGAAGGAATCTGACTATGCAAGGTCACATATACTAGATCACATATACTAGTCCATCAAAATCAGTTTATTGCTACCACTGAATAAATACAGGCAGTTGAACAGCTCTCTAATTATGACAATCCTGTTTTTCTTATCATTTCCGACAAGTTTTGCATTCTCAGGTTATACTGGGAAAAATGGTCTCAAGACAACTAAAGTTTATTAAAATAAAATAATTAAAAGGCAAAAAATGAGGTGAGTGACAGGGTTTTTTGTTTTGGATTGTTGGACACACACACCAACCTTTTTTGAGGATGATAATGTTATACAAGTCAAGATTAGAATAAGACCCCCTTTTCTTTCTAAAATAAAAGATCTTGAAATTTAGTCTAGCTGAGAGAAAGAGGGAGTCATGTGGTTAATGCGGCAGGCTAAAAAATCTAATCAATAATCAATCAATAAATAAATATTGAATGCAGAATCTTACTCATGCAACTCTTCAGGGGGTATTATCAGACAGATGATTGGGGCAGCAGTAAAACACAATGCTCTTTGTTTAAGGTTTACTTTTAAAAGCTCCCTTTTGTGAACATGAGCCTGCACATGTTCATTAAATGACCTGTGAGTCTCAACTCATGGCATTCTAGCTTCAAGCCTGAATAATTTCAGCTGGATTGCTATGAGAACCTTTTTCTCCTGAGAGCCTGATGAAACCACTCAAAAGGTTTTGTGACTTTGTTCTGGTTCTCAGGTTTTCTTCTGTCTTCATGATTCAACTTGCTTTTTATTGTGACTCTCAATGTCACAGTATGGACTGTATTCTACTTGAAGCTCTGCACTTAGGAATGTATGGACATCTGTCTGAAGTATTGTTTTCAAATGTTCCTCCAGTTCTTGTGTTTTGGTTCCCTTTTCTCCTATGTACATAATAACAATACCTCCCTTACAAGATGCACGTGCTTCTTTCCAAGTAAGCCTTAGTATGAAATCCAGAGCCTTCTGTTTGGCTTTCTGGAATTGTTTAAAGTTTCAGCTTCAGGCTTGAAAAAGAGGGTGCTGCCTTGTACCCATATTTCCAAGCCCT